AAATAATAAAGGCAGAATCAGATGTGGCACAAGACACTGGTGGAGAAGCAGTGAGGAGCCATTCAAAACTGTGTTTAGCTGGGGTAAAGGAAAGAGACTGTGGGATTGAAAAGGCCAGGCCGAGCAGGTAAGAATGGGGTTGAGGAGTACATGTGTTGGATCAAGAAATCGAGGATAGGAAAAAAGTGAAACCCAAAGAATGCTAGTTTGGGAAAGAAAAGGAGGCACCGAGAAGTTTGGTAACAATGAAAACTAGGAAGGAGTGATGATAGAGAAAATTGGAGTATAGACGGCCATAATGAGACTAGAATGGCACGGTTCCGTCTCAGAAGTGGACCAGGCCAAGTGAAGACCAGGTTAGCATCCAGCCAGGGGTGTGGGGGGCAGATGAAAGGAGACAGTAGTGCAAATGCCCAGGAACAGATGAGGTCATGGAGGGGGGTGTTGTGTGCTAGGTAAGTCATCTACATGGACATTCACGGAGTTTGGGGAAAGAGAATTTAGAAAGAAAAGGATATTGACAAGCCAGGCGTGAAAGCCTAATGTAGCTGAGAAAATTATTAGTGCCAGTGTGATGGCGCATACCTATAACCCCAGCACTTGGGACACTGAGGCAGAAGATCATGGGCAGCTGGACCACACAGCAGAACCCCATGTTGGGGGGGAGGGACAGGGGAGGAAGGAGAAGACATAAAATGCATCCGAATTGGAAAGGAAGAAGAAAATTACCTGTTTTCAGATGACATGATCTTTTATGTAGAAACCCTAAGGATACACTCAAACATATAAAAATGTTAAAACTAATAAACAACTTCTGCGAAGTTCCGAGGTAGAAAAAGAATCAACAAAATAAGTTGTGTTTCTATATACTAACAGTTAACAATCCATAAAATAACAATCACACTTATAAGAGCATCAAAAAAGTAAAATGTTTAAAAATAAACTTAAATAGGTCAGAAATCTGTACACTAAAAAGTACAGGAAAAGTAAATAGAAAGATGTATTCACTGGAAGACTTCAGACTGTTAAAATGTCCATACCACATAGCAATCTACAGATTCAATGCAATTCCTGTTAAAATCCCAATGTCACTTTTTACAGAAATAAGAAAAAGCCACCTTAAAATCCGTATGACAGCTCAAGGCACTCCAAATGGCCAAAACAATCTAGAATGATAACAAAGTTGGAAGCCTCATACTTCCCAACTTCAAAATTTACTACAAAGCTATAGTAATCCAAATAATGTAGTTCTGGCATAAAGACAGATACACAGACCAATGGTACAGAATAGACTCTAGAAATAAATTTCCATTGTATATGATTAAAGTCTTCAACAAAAGTACCAAGACCATTCATCAGGAAAAGGACATTTTACAAGAAATGGTATCAGTCCACTGCAAAAGAATGAAGTTATACCTTCGCATTATACCATACACAAAAATTAAACACAAAGACCTAAACGTGACCTAATATTCTTCAAGGCAAACCTAAGGAGAAAATTTAATGTCATTGGATTTGGCAATGATTTCTTATAAGTGATACCAAAAGCTCAGGCAGGGATCAGGGAATGGCTCCGTTGGAAAAGTGTTTAGCCTGCACGCATGAAGACCAAAATTTGGAACCCCCAAGCCCATGTACAATGCCAGCATGTGTCTGCAATTCGTGCACCGAGGAGGCAGAGTCAGGAGGATTACTGAGGCCTGCAGACCAGCTAGTCTGGCCAAATCTGAGCTTCACGATCAATCAGAGACTGTCACCAAAAATAAGGGGGTGGGCAATTAAGACACCGTGTTAGCTTCTGACCAACACACATGTACATACACACACACACACACACACACACACACACACACAGCCCAAAAGCACAGGCAACAAAAGCAAAGCGAGACAAATGAGACTGCATCAAGTTTCAAAACTTCTGGGCACCCCCAAAGACAACAATAAATTAAAAGAGCAACACACAAAATGAGAGGAAAAAAATCTGTGCAGATCATGCATTTCCTAAGGGGTTAATATCTAGACTATATAAAGAATTCACAAAACTCAATAACAATGATAAAATCCAATTAAAAGTGGACAAAGAACTTCAACAGACGTTTTTCCAAAGAAGACATACAAGGGGCCAAAAGGCATATGAAAAAATACTTAGTTTTCTTAGAGAAACGCAAATCAAAACCACAATACCACATCATACTCATTAGAACAAAATAACGTAAGTCAGGAAGGATGTAGAAAAACTGGAAACATTTTGCACTGCTAGTGGAATTGCAAAAGACGCTATCAAAAAGAATTTGAAGGCTCCTCAAAAAATTTTAAAAAGGGCTCCCTAATTCAGCAGAGGGCCAGGAACACAAAAGGTCACAAATGGCCAAAGCATAGAGATCAAGAGTCTGCTGAATGCTGGTCCTTAGAAGGGATCCCTTTATTAAATAAACTTCACCCACCCAAGGATCAGGGACCATCGAGGAAGAGGGGATGGAAAGATTGTAAGAGCCAGGGAGGAGGTGCATGACCATATGGAAACAGAGTCCTACAAGCTCCTGGGAACCTGCTCGTATGAGTCTATGGCAATGGTGTCAGCATACACAAGTCCCACGCAAACTCAGGCAGACAAAAACCCAGCATAGAACTGGGAAAATGAACAGCAGACTCCAATCTTATCTGAAGAAATATTGGCAACTGATTGCTGCCAGGTGAAGAAGAGCTGATCTTCCTAAAACAAGGAACTCTAGATAGGATGATTAGACCTCAGTGGATAGACTTTCACTGGGGAAGGCTGATAAGACCTCAGTGGATAGACTTGCACTGGGGAACATCTGGGGACAATGACTTAACACAGGAATGACAGAGTATAGGCTCCAGTAGGGGGACTACGGGAGGGTGCCGGTGGGGATGGGGTATAAAGATGATTAAGATTGTTTGAGATGTTCTGTATGAAATACACAAAAATTCAATAAAAACAAATTTAAAAAAATAAAAATAAAAAACACATAAAAATTACTTAGTTGTAGAAAACCAAAATCATTACATGTTAATTTCATTTTCTATATTGAAAACAGCAATCTATTTTAAATTTCTAGTACTGGATTTAGTATGAGAGATTAAAAATTTTGGTGTCAAAAATTTTTTTTAAATGGAACTACCATTTGATCCAGCAGCCCCTCTCCTAGATATGTCTCTAAAAGAACAGTTTCAAAGAAATAATTAGCTCTCCCAAGTTCACTGCAACATTATTCACAATATCCAATAGACAGAAGTAACCCAAATGCCCATCAAAAAATAAAGTATGCCATGTGCATACAATGGAATATTAACTGTTCAGCCTTTAAAAATAAAGAAATCCTACCACATTTCATAACACAGATGAACCTGAAGGACATTTAAAATGCAAAGTCAGTCACAGAAAGACAAATACTGTATGATCCCACCTATACCAAAGGTCTACATTAGTCAAACTCAGAAAAATAAAGTAGAACGGTGGTCGCCAGGAGCTAAGGAAGGGGGGAGGAAAATGGGAGCTGCTTAGCAGGTCAGAGTTTCAGTTTTGCAACCAAACAGTTCTAGAACTCTGTTGTACAACAATATGAATACACTTAGTAATATTGACCTGCACACTCACAAATGATCAAGGTAGTAAACTATATGCTTTTCACTACAATTTGAAAATAAGAGGGGCCAGGTGGTAGCAGAGTATGAAGCAAAAAATGTGCATGTGTGTGGGGGGGTGTTGCCTGTGGGGCCAGAACATGGAAATTTCAAGGGTGGAGAAAGAGCAAAGTGAGGCCTCCAGGCTTCAACCACACTCTGGGTTCAAGCTGTTTTAAAACAAACTCAGAATGAGTCTTCTTCATGCTAGAGAGCTAGTGGGCCTTGTTTTAAAGTCTTAAGACTTTAGGAAATTATTAGCGAACCTCTGAACAGAATACACAGTGAGCGCTTCACATCTTCACAGCAGGTGGAGATTCCTGACTGAGCTGGCCCTGCAGGAAGTCAAGAGACTCTTCCTGAAGGCTCATGTTGGAAAAGGGAAAAAGCCAGACATTACATACCTCATATTCCATTTTTAAAAAGTTTGTTCAACCACTGTCCTATCTTATAAACCCTAAGCTTTTTAGATACTCATTAACACTATTTGGATGCTTAGTTTTGAGGATGCTTAGGAAGGGAAGATGCTCCAACCTACACAGCTGCAAAAAAATCAGATACCATGCTGCACCCTAAAGTTTTCCTGCCAACCGTGAATTGAGAATTCTTGTAGAAGGAACAGTGAATCACAAACCTCACTTCCTGTTTAACGAAGCAACACTGAATCCATCTGGATTTCCATGTTGCTACAGTCGTAAGATGCAGCATTTGAGTCCTTAAAGACTATAATTTTCTTGGTTATCTTAACTTTTTATGATTTTTATACAAAACATCTCTAAGTATTACCATATTAAACCAGAAGGGGTATTCTGGCACTTTCTTCTTCCTCCATGTCTGAAGACTAATTCAACTTAGAATTACACTGAACTCCTTATCCAATCAAAAGGGGTGAAAGTCTCTGTCTCGTTTAATTAACCCAGGCTAATGAAATAGCTGAGGATGGTCACAGGGGTGGGAAAAGCAGAGCAGTGAGTGTCTAGCATCCAAGGGAAGAAAGAAGGAGGCCACAGCAAGAAACCGAGAAAGGAATACCAAGAAGATGTGAGTAGCAAGCTCAATCTACTAATCTGGGAAAGAACTTTATTCTGTCCAGAATGGACCTCAATTTCTTCAACTATCAAGTGAATAAAAATAGTTTGCAATCTCACTAATATAATGTATATCTGCTAAAGTATGTTCTAGCTATTGTTCCATACAGTTTTAATTACATAGAACGGATTATAAGAAATGTCTTTGTTTTGAATAACTTATCACCAGAGTACTTTACAGAGAAGCGCAGCTGAACAGGATTTCAACCTCAGGCCCTTTGGCCCATTCTGTAGTAAGTGCAGGTGGAGTGGGGCGGTAATATTTACCAGTGTTTTCCATAGAGCCAATGGCCTCCCCATGTCAGCAGGCAGAGCCCAGCTGTAGTTTTCTTCCAGTGATTTCGAAGTGTTTTAAAGAACATGGTCATCTTCTCCTAGAGATTTAGTAGAGGCAGAAAAAAAAAAAAAAATTATCCAAGATAATCAAACCACAGCTTATCAGCCATCCTAGGGTCTCTCTCCTCATTTTTTTCTTCGCATAGGGTTCCTGCTGCCACTTCTGCTCTGGCTTCTCAGCTTTTCCTTTCTAGTCTCAGCATCTTCTCATCCACTCAACTATCTTTATTTCCATCTTTATTCATATATTTCTACCTTAACTGTACGTGTTTCTTGTCTGATCACTTCCGCATCCACAGAAGGAGGAGAGGCAGGAAGAGAGGCATGGGCTCTCCTGGTGTGCTGGATGGCTTTAGTTGTCTCTCAACTTGACATACCTAGGTAGAGGGAGCCTCAATTGGGGAATTGCCTCCATTGGACTGGCCTGTGGCCATGTCCATAGGGCATTTTCTTGACTGTTGAGAGATGTGGGAGGGCCCAGCCCACTGTGGTCCTGTGAACAGGTGGTCCTGTATTGTATAAGAAAGCAGGTCAAGCCAGTAAGCAGCGTTCCTACATGACCTGTGCTCCAGGTCCCTGCTCTGAGTTCCTACCTTGGACTCCCTGATGAACCCAGGAGATATAAGCCAAATAAACCCTTTCCTCCCCAAGTTAATATTGGTTGGAGTGTTTACAATAGAAAGCAAACTAGAACACCCGGCTTCCTCTCGAGTCTACCGTCCTACTGTTCCACTACTCCACTGATTAGGAGTGTCTGTCCATTACACATGAGGGGTCCCCTAAACACCAGTAGCAACGTATTCAAAACAGATGAAAACACTAGGCCTTCAATATGAAAATCAGCAGAGAACATGTATAAAACTCTATGCACATGGCTACATAAAAATGCTCATCTTAATCAAATGTATGTAAATTACAAAGAGCTATTACTATGCACGTATAATATTAACATTTTTAATTTTTTTTTTTTTGTCTTTTCAAGACAGGGTCTCCCTGTAGCCCCAGATGGCCTGGAAATCACTATGTAGACCAGGCTGGCCTCGAACTCACAGAGATCTGCCTGCCTCTGCCTCCCAAGTGCTGGGCATTAAAGGTGTATGCCACCATGTCTGGCTCAACATTAACATTTTTAAAATATCATACTCACTAATGATAAAATACAGTGAGGTAGATATTCTCATATACTCTTAGAAGGAAAAGTTAGCTCTTTATTAGAAAACAAACTGAAAAGTATGTTTCTTTTTATATGGCACTATTTGAGGCTATCAATATTTATTAGCTAATGTGTTACTTAACTTACCCCAGTGGAGTAAACGCCATGAGAGTACGGACTTTGGTCACCACTAGAACACAGGCCTTAGTTAAGATGTGGCACACAACAGCTATTTTAGAAACATCTATTAAGCAAGTCATATAGCAATTCATTTTTTTTTTAACTAAGAATTTTACAGATGTAGAAAAAACAACTCAAAATACAATGTTTAGTAAAATTAGCAGGACAAAAAGCCATATGTAATTAGTATTATCCCAATTATGCTCAAATAGAACAATAAAAAAAATCAATAAACAAAAGCAGAAATTTAATGTAATTTCCTCTAAATCTTAGGATGGTTGAATGACATCTTAAAATTGCAACATATATGCAATGCAAAGTTTTATGAAATAAATATAAATTATTTTCTAAACAGATGAAAATTTAAACAAAAGTTCTTATAGTGAGTGTGAGACCAGCTGCTTCCATTAAAGGGTGAAGTTTGTTTCGTTCTCCCTTTAACTCACATTGGTTCAAATCCCTGTCATGGGAAGAAATATCCTCATTGCAGACATCACTCAGGCTGGTAGAGAAAAAATCCCAAATGTCCATCTAACTATTGCCCTCCCCTCCATCTGGCCCTAAACACTTAATCACTCAAGAAGCCTTTAATAAGCAGCTACATGCTAGGCTGTATGTCAAGAGCTAGAGCAGAGGCGACCAGGACCCATTCTCAAGTGCTCATAATTGTTAAATCCACAACTGCAACACAAGTCCACAATTAAAGTCGCCACAGCCTAAGACATGTGTTAAGGGATGAGCACAGGATCTATTAAGTCCACAAAAACTAGCCTAACTGGGATGAACATGAAGGAGCCAGAGAGAGTTGGGGGATTCTTCTTAGAGCCTTGAAGAATTAGGAGTCACAAAGTAAAGGTGTTAGGTATATGTTATGGTCTAAACATTTGCATGTCTCCAAAATTCATATGCAGTAGTCCCAATTCCCACTGAGATGGTATTAGGATATAGGGCTTCTGGAAGGTCATGAGGGTGTTGTCCTCATGAATGGGATTATCACCCCTATACAATGGACGAAATGGTCCCATACCCTAAAGATAGCAACAAGATAAAGATAGCAAGATGGCCATCTGCAAACCAGGAACAGGCACATCAAGTGCCCAACTTTGCTGGCAGCTTGGTTTTATATTTCCAGTTTTCACACTGTGAGAAATCAATTTGTTATTTAAGTCACACCAGTTATAGCAGTTTGAACTAGGAAGTGTACAAAGGCAAACAAAATAAAACAAAAACCTCTAGCAAGTTATGTTCTGAAAAACACAGGCAGTACAGAGGAGAATAATTTCTCTTCTCACCCATGACTAGATTCATGACTAACGTTTGGATTAAAAAAGACACAGTGGCTGGAGAGATGGCTCAGCGGTTAAGAATATTGGGTGCTTTTGCAGAGAACCTGGGTTCAATTCCCAGCACTCACATGAGGACTAACAACCATCTATAACTCCAGTTCCAGGAGCTTCCAATGCCGTCTTCTGATCTCCACAGGCATTGCATGACACAGGTACACTTACATGCAGGCAATACTCGCATACACATAACATAAAAAAAGAAAAAAAAGAAACGGTAGCTTAAAGATAAAGTATGGTGGGAGGGGAAAGATTAGAAAAGCCCTTGAATCCACACTGAGGACTTTGGATATTACATTGAAGATAAAGAAAAAACTTCCTCAGCTTTGGGAGGTGAGCGATATGATCATATTTGAACTGCAGTGTAAAATGGACTGGCAGAAGTTGAAAGCGCACTGAAGGAGAGCCATTAGGGAGTTATTGCTATAGTCTCTAGTCCACTAAAGGAAGAAACCAAAGGTAGCCAAAGATTGAATTTGGAGGTCTTTAGAAAGCAGAAACTGGCTGCACTTGGTGATAAACTGACTGCAGGGAGGTGAGGGATGAGAAGCCAAGCCAGATTGTGTGCTTGGGCAAATGACTGGGGAGTAATTTCAATCCTAGAGGTTTGTATTGTGGCTTTGTGGAGAAAAGAAGCATGCAGCTTAGGGGACCCTAGACTGACATTACTGCAGGGGGCAGATGTCTGGATTTAGCTGTTTGGAAGGAGAAAATGGACACAGATACAGATTTGGCATTCAAGCTGTGGAGGTCAAGTCTGAGTGTTGATAAAAATCACCCAAGTGGAGAGGAGCTTGAAAAAAATATACCAGTAAATTAGAGAATAATTTCTTTAAAGGCCATCCCCAACCCTGTCATAAATGATTCATCTATTATGAAAAAAATGAATGTGGAAATATGCCGGCAACCTAGCGTGGATAGAGGACTGACTGGTCCACGTGCCTGGAACTAAATCCTAGTTTTACCACTTCCTAGTGGTAGGTCCCTGGCTAAGTCATTTAACTTCTGCCTCCATTTCTTCACTAGTAAAACAAGGAAACACCATGTGTTCTGATGACCTCATTTGGCTGTGAAGACCAGCTGTAATGGGGTTGTGAATGAAATCTGTAAATTTTCCATATTTAAGTTGTCATCACAGTATGTAACACATTAGCAGTGTATATTACCTTCTAAGTAACCAGAAGTCACATCCTCTAATCTCAGTTAATGTCTCAATTTTGTTTAAATGTACATACTTTTTTTTTTTTTTTTTTTTTTTTTTTTTTGTCTTTTTGAGACAGGGTCTCTCTGTAGCCCCAGCTGTCCTGGAACTCACCATGTAGCCCAGGCTGGCCTTGAACTCACAAGAGATCTGCCTGCCTCTGCCTCCCGAGTGCTGGGATTAAAGGCGTGCGCCACCACGCCCGGCTAAATGTACATACTTTTGCCTTCAAAGCAGGTTCTGCCCAACCCCAAGGACCTCCGAATTCTAACTGCAGCCCCCTCCCCCCGACAAGTGAGGTGGGGTTTTCTCCTAAGTGCGTGAACTCCTTCCGGGCAGGTTCTATCCTCTGCCTCACCAGAACCTAGAAAGGCGTTTAGAATGAATTAACCCATCCACCCACCCACCCAGGAATCTAATACTATCCGCCACGTTTTTGAACAGGAGTACTCCAAAGCCCAAAGGCAAAGGTGACTGCGGGTCCCCAAGTTAGCGACAGCTCTGGGACTCGAACCCAGCACCCCTGACTCCCAGTGACCACGGATGCGGGCGCCACGCCGGCTGGGCCTGTCCCTTTCTCCCGCCGCGGCCGCGAAGCAGGCGGATTCCCGGCTCCAGGCCGGTCCCCAGGCCGCCCTGCCCCGCGCGGCTCCGGGGATGTGCCCCACACTCGAGCCACGCTCGCCGCCAGCCTAGCGGCCCGTGCTGGGCGCCCGCACTCACCCCCGCCAGCTGCTCACCGCCAGGCCTTTCCTGTGTGCTCTCTCAAGACTCTCCCCCTCTTTCAAGGGAAACCGCTGCCACGGCCGTCGGGTTCCGCCGCTGGGCTGCGCGGGCCAGGCGGGGCCAGGCTCTCGTGACCCGGAGGTGGGCTTGCGGGAGCCTCCGCCCTGGGGCTGCGTTCCTTTCCTTTCAAAACTCCCTTACTTAGTCTTTCATTTCTCTATTGCCAGGCAATAGGCTCTGGAAAGTTCACAATACATAATAGTTTTAAGATTTGTAACTAAACTGGAGAATAAAGGAGTAAAACGATGTTAACAGTGGTAAGCGCTACAAAGAAAATGAAATTGGGTGATAGGGAGTGGGGTGGGGGTGAACTGCAAAAGCTCTGAAACCCTAGGCCAGTGTGGGAGAGGCAGAGAGCGCTGAGGAGAAGCCAGGACAGAGAATGTTTCCCCAAAACTTGAAGACTGATGAGCTGAAGATGAGATGCAGAATCCCTGCCTATTTCCCTATAAGCAAGACAGATTTGCAAAGTCCTCACCAAATGTCAACAAAATACAGCTCTTGCTCCAGAGGGAATGTTGTCTGTCTTCCTGGGATGACACAGCCATTACTGTCTTGAAAGCAGGATAACTGTAGTTACTCTCACCAAACCATCACAAGATGGGGCCCATTAACATCCTGTGTTTAAGGGTGAAGTAGCACACTAGACCCAAAGGGCCCTCCTCTCCCACAGGATATACAAGCAGTTAATGGTTGCTGGGGGAGAGGGGAACA